ATGCAAACTTTCGGTTATAAGTTCTGAAATTATATGGAACATGGTGATTGCAGTTAATAATAATGTCGTGTGTACGTGAAATTTTCTGAGAGTAGATACTAACCATTCTTAACACACACAAGTAATTATGTAAAATGATAGATATTTTAGTTTTGTTAATACTTTCATAATGTACACACCTACCAAAACCTCACATTGTACACCTTGAATATATATAATTTTTATTTGTGAACTGTACCTCAATAGAATTGGAAAAATGACCCTTAAAAATAAAAAGGATTTAAATTGTCTGATTCTATTACTTATGTATCATAGATCTATTATTATGTTTTAAAGTGAGAATTAAGTTAAAAATCATGTTTCTTAGAACAGAGTGCAGTTTCTACTATCAACTTACATTCTCTCCCCCTCCTTCTCCTCCTCTTCATCATCATAACTAATTCTAATTGTCACTTCTTGTGTTCCAGGCATCAACTAGTGTAAATACTTTTTACATATTAAATCACTAAGTTGTATAAGAAGCTTTTGAGGTACATAATATCATTCTTATTTTAAGAGGAAAAAATTAAGGTCTGGAGTTGTCAAATGAGAAGTCACAGAGTTTAAAAGGGGGTTAAATGAAGAAAAAAAAAGCTGTCAGAGATGCCACCCATTTTTAAAAAAATATTTAGTTTTTAGTTATAGGTGGACACAATATCTTTATTTTACACTTATGTGGTGCTAAGGATTCAACCCCGTGCCTCACACATGCCAGGCGAGTGCTCTACCTCTGAGCCACAACCCCAGCCCCTTCCACTTTTAAAAAATTTGTTCTAATCAGTTTTTTTTTTTGTTGTTGTTGTTGTTGTTATTGTTGTTCTAATCAGTTAACATGCTTTGAATCTAGGTAGGTTGAATAATGGTGGAGGAAAAAGTCTTTGAAAAAAATAATGAATTTAGTTTGGATCAGGGATTCTGAAGGAATGACAGACCCTGGGATTTAGACTAATCCAATGGTTACAAAGGAAAGCTGAAACTGTGGAGAGATCAGAGGTGTGAAAGATCTGGAGGTATTCAGGGTTCAGTGAAGGCCTATGAAGTGATTAGGGTGGGCTTGGCCAGGTGGGGGCAGCAGAGCATCACCAATTGCTGAAGATGGCAGAGCACTGAGAGTCTCTTTAGGAGATAGAGGAAGTGGGCCCCTGGAGGTGGGACGACCCGCACAGCAGCAATGTATCCATGATGCAAAGGTTTCTAGAAAACCTTTGAGTTGGTAGGCATGTGAGCAGATGCAGGTAACTAGTGATTTTGGAAAAAAGTGATTTTAGAAGAGTAGCGATATCAGCATCAGATTAAAAGGATTAAATGGGGGAATGGGTATGGAGATAGGAAAAGTAGGAATATGTATTTTTGAATCTGCCAATGAAAAGAAGCAGAGTAATAGGATGGTAGTTTAAGGTGAAGGCAGACTAGATGGGGAGATTTTTTTGTAACTTGAAGTATTCTTATGAAAAGTTTATGAGATCACTGGAATAATATCATGAAGAGAGTAATTGAAGATGACAAAGAGGGAAAGATGCTTCTCATAATAGTTAGGATATAATCAAGGGTACTAGTAGGTGAAGTTTTCTGTTTGAGGAGAGCAGGAAGAGAGAAGATACAGACGATAGAGATTTTATGGATCTTTACTAAGAGTGCCAACCTTATATAATTAGGCTGTTTTCTAATAGTCATCAGTTATTTGGAAATCTTAAATCATTTTTCCATTATCTACTTTCCCTTACTATTGCATTTTAATAAATAGAAATTTCAGGTACCATGTAAAGATGTTTAAAAAATTCCTTGTTTCTTACATTGGTCACTTCAGTGCAGTCATGTACCTAAATTTTACGGTGGGAAATGAGGGACCATTTCTGATGTCTACTGGGATGAGTATAAGCAGTTATCATGAATGGATCAGGCTTGTTCATCTCTGTAGACCTCTAAGCAAGTGAAGGTTATTTGGATCAAAGATGTATCTTGTCCTAGAGTTTTCATTATTCACCATGATTTAGAATTTGAAATTCGAATGGGCTTAATTCACAACTGAGCCACTTGTGTAATCAAATCCAAGTCTGTGAATGCATTGCTTCCTGATCCAGTGACATAAAGAAGTTTCCAAATCTTTGACCACCAGCCTCTCCTAGCCCCCAATGCTTTTCACTTCTGTTGTAAAGGAAAATGCTCCAAGGTTATTTGCAAGTGACTTACTTTCCACAGTGTAAGGTGAAAACTAGATATAACACAAAGTAGCAGAATGTCATGCAGATGTTCTCTTTCTCCTTTCAGTTTATTTTTTCTTGTTCAGCATTGCTAACACTTTTGATCTGAAAATCTCTCTCTGCTTGTTAAAAACCTTCTCTAGCTGCCTCTACCATCTCTATGGATATGTGTGGTTCTTCTATTTTGTGTATAGTGAAGGGCTCCTGTAATGTATTCCTCATGCAGTCTTGTTTCTTCTTCAACAGAGACATTTTCAAAGTAATTATTTCAGAGTGGGTATGTGTCCTTTTTTACTTTACAAAAAAAAAAAAAAAAAAGAATTGGAGGAAATATGGGAGAAGTCATGATTAGTAAAGCTGGAAGAGAATTAGTGAGAATTAGCCAATCTCACATGTGACAAAATCAAAGCACAGAGGGGTTAAATGATTTGCTTGATAACACACAGAAAAAGAAACAGATGGAGGAAGAACAAAAAACCTGCATAAAGTGTAGTAATATGGATTAGTTGCCAAGAATTCAAACTCAGTGTTTGTTTTTTCAGTTTATGGCTATTTTGACCATGAGAGGAAAACTAAATTGGAAGGTTAGGGAAACAGAAAGTTTTGTCTTCAAAAGTTAACTAACTGTCCAGCCCATCTTAAGAAAAAAATATGGTTCATCTGTCATTTCCCTCACTGTTATTGCTTGATTCCTTTTCACAAGGCCTAACCACTTCACCATGTCTTGGATTCTTTCCGGCCCATCAACTCCATTTCTTAGCATTGATTTTTTTCAATGCTTTGCAGACCTTTTCTGTTCCCTTTAGACTGAATTAATTCTTTCATTTATTTTTTTATTAATTCATTGGCAGAATGTTTTTCCACATTTTTATGAGAGCTTTGGCTCTGAAAGAAGTATTTATTATACATGTACTTTAACCCCAAAGGAAACCAGAAAAGAAGGAAACTGGAACAAGAAATTAATATTCAATTTATGGGGATATTAACAGATGAAATATGGTTAGAAAAAATTTCCTGAAATAAAATAACCACACTGCCCTTCAATCCTTGCCATCAGTGTGGTTTGTCACAATACCAAATTAAATCCATTTTTAAAAAATGTTCTGTTATTTTAAACAAATATTTTCCTTAAATTTAAGCAAAAGGAAAAACTCCATTCAGGCAATAAATATTGGAGTGCTTACTATTTGTAAAGCACTGTGGTGGGCCCTCAAGAGCATAGTGAAATAAGTAAGTCTCTGTGGGATACTTACTTTTTTTGAATTTCAAAAGCCTTTGCATAGATAGAAATCTGGGGTCTGTTAAAGAATCATACACGTTTTCACACTCTTGTCTTTTTCCCACCAAGTCTATGCAGCACTTGACACCGCTGAACTTTTCCCATTGATTCAACAAATATTTACGGCATTCTTAATTATTGGTCTGGTGTAGGTCACTGATATATGGCAACAACGGTGAAAAGAATCACAAAATTCTTTTTTTTTTTTTTTTTTTTTTTCAGAGTGGAAAGTAGAGGCTTTATTAAAGGACAGCAGAAAAGACTTCTCCCGGAGGAAGAAGGGGACCCAAGAGATGGAATCCCAAGAATCACAAAATTCTTGCTCCTGCAGAATTTGTACTCTAGTGAGGGGAGAAACAGAATATATAACTAGGTAAAATATCACGTATAAGTACTATAGAGGGGGCTAAAAAAGCAGAGTAAGAGCATTGGAAGTTTTTGGACTGGTGATGTTGCAATTTCAAAGGTTTCCAACAGGGTTTCCAGGGAGGGTCTCATTAGGACTTTAAGGGGTAGGGGAGACTTTGGGTTTTATTCTGATGAAAAGTTACTGGAGTATTTTCTTGGACAGATGATCTGATTTGTAATTTTGGTGGACCATGAATGAAATTGGTCATGTCCTGAAGCAGGAATATAGATAAGGGAATTACTATAAAACCCAGTAGAGATATAATTGTAGTAGAGTGCGTGGAGGAAACTGGTAGATTTCTGCATATATTTTGTTGGTGGAATCAACAGAATCTGCTGAAGAACTAAAGATGAGATGGGGAAGAATGAGGACAAGGAGCTACCAGCTTTGGAAACTCAGTATCACCTTTGTAAAAGGTGGAACTTTTTAAACCTCTTGATTCCAGTTTTCACCCCAGATTCTTTAGCCAGAATCACCAGGACGTTGGAAACACTACCTTTAAAACTCCTCCCAAGATTCTTCCACAGCCAACTTGGGCTAACAAAACTTGCGGACTTAATATGTAACCTGTTGGTTACATATGACGAGCTCAAGCACAGCACTGTGCAGTGCGCGTGGGCCGTTGGGCTAGTGGAGGAAAAGATTAATCCTACTTTAATTCAGGAATACCCTTAAGAAACCTTAAGTGGGTTGGGTTAACCACGGTACGGGAGGGCTTTTTGGAGTAGCCTGATTTTACAAAGTTTTTCTCAGACCTTTAAAAAGAAGGAGAGAACAAACATGAAAGAAAAAAATAGTGGGGTGGTACGGAGAGAGAGGTGACAATTGCACACTCCAGATTCTGGTTCCTCGCCTCTCTCCGCGCGACACAACACGGGAGAACTAACCCTGAGGCGCAGACGCCACTACAAGAAAGTTACGCCTCTACCAGAAAGGGGCCGGCCCGTTTTCCGGACGCAGCAAAGCTCGAGTTTCCGGAAGGACAGGATTCGGGAGCGGACCAAACCGGATGGAGGTCGCGCGCGCCCGCCTTTTCCCGCCCTCTTTCTGGTTCACCCAGAGGCAATTTCTCAGGGGGGCGGGGTCGCGACGACCTTTTGCGCAGGCGCAGTCCGCGGTCCACGCGTGGTGAAATGCCTGGAAAGCACGTTTCTCGTGTCCGTAGCTTATATAGGCGGATCTTGCAACTACACCGGGTTCTGCCCCCGGACCTTAAATCTCTGGGTGACCAGTACGTGAAGGACGAATTTAGGAGACATAAGACCGTTGGTTCTGACGAGGCCCAGCGTTTCTTGCAGGAATGGGAGGCAAGTGACGCCCCCTTTTCTTGGGGTTTCTTTAAGTGGTGTTCCCGGTTTGTCCCTTTCAGAGTTCGCCTGTCCCAGCTCGTGCCCAGTAACTCATACAGATTAAACAGGGGCATTCTACACTTGATAAATCTGCATCCTGAGTCCCTCAGTTTCTCCCACCAGGTCCTGGCTGGAGCAGATCCAGTGTGTCTAACTCAGTTCAGCCTTTTGAGCTCTTGCAGATACTAGTCGTCCAAGAGGTGAGGGTGGGGGTCACAAAATTGACTAAATCACTGTCAAACGCTCAGAGGGCTTGCCGGCTTCGGTCCGCTCCACTGCCTTTGCAGGTAGCAAACGCCTGTTAATAAGTTAATGGTTATTTCATAACAGTCTCCACACCTAGAGGTTTGTTTTCCTGATCTATTACTTTTTAAATCTCAGGGTCTTAGTGAATTTCTTACTCGATACAGAAATCAGATAAAGGACTGTTAAGGATTACTAGTGGTGAAGGAGGAAAATGCTGGTCGGAGTTAAGCAAGGTGGAAGTTGGTTTCTTTAGGCTCTGCAGTCATGAGTCACGTGGCTTTGTTACTTTACCCTTCGCTCTTGTGCCCAGTCTTGAGCAGACAAATGCATTAGGGATTAGTGACTTTATTTTTTGAACGAAGGAAAAAAAAATATTTACAATTTTTCGTGGGTTGTGGGCCCTGCAGGATTTCCTCTTCTTATTGGTAAATATTAAGAAATGAATGGATTTGTAGATTAGAGTACGTCTCAGGTATTTGAAAGCATGGTAGAGGTGAGTTTTAATGTCTAAAAAGTTGATGGCTGAAGAGATGACTGAATTGGGCTTTAAAAAAATATCATAGAGGTTATACTAGGGTAGACCTGGAACTTCTTCACTGAATTCCAGAATTGATTGTTGAACCATTGAAGTTTTAAAGACAGACATTTAGAATAATGGTGACATTTAGAAAGTTCATAAAAATCATGGTGTAGTCGATATAATTTGCTTGCCTGAAACCAGGGAAGTTTAATATTTTAAGTGCAGACCACTTTATTTTAATAAGGTAATTTGGTCTTGGAGCCAGAACTAGATTCAGATTCGGGCTTGGATATTATTAAAGGTCAGGTCACTTAATTTTTCTAGTCTTTTATCCCTCACCTGTAAAGTAATAGTATTTATAGTATGCATCTGAAAATTAGTGTATGTTCCACTAAGAATGTATTCCACTAAGCTACATCCTACCCTTGTTGCAGACTTTTAATTATTTAAAAAGTATTTAAAAGCGCATAGAATATTATTAATTACATTGAAATTATTATATATTTAAGGTGTTTGTTAAGTGACCTCTTTTAAGTGAGTTCTGTTTGTGGATAGACAGGAGAGTTTGGTTCTGTGCTGGGAAGAAATGAGGTTACTTTTAGAAGTCATAGTTGGAAATTTTTAGGGGAAATGTAGGAAAAAGTGGGGACTTAGAATAAATTGTTACAAGCTGAGGGAAGAGAGGGTGTAAGAAAAGAACTAAGTAAATTGTTGAACAACCTAGGAAGCTTGGTAGGAATTTAGCTTTTTTGTTTTCAACTCTTTTGGAATAATTTTAAACGAGTTACAGAGATAGTAAGGAGTTCCCATACATCTGTACCCTGTTTCCTTTTCTGGTAACATATCACCAAGGTACGTTTATCAAAACTAAGAAATTTAACAGTATTATAATATTATTAACTATACATATTTTGCCAAGATTTCCATGAATGTTTTTATTCTGTCCAGGGTTCACTCTGGATCCATGTTGCATTTAGTCATCTTTTCTCCTTAATCTCATCCAATCTGTGACAGTTGATCATTTTTTCCCTATCTTTCACTACCTCAACACTCTTTTGAAAAAAGTACTAGCTTTTTACTTTGTAGAATGTTTCTCATTTTGGGTTTTTTTTTTTTTTTGATGTTTATTCATGATCATGGGATTGATGTTATCCATTATTGAGAATACTATAGGAATGAAGTATCCTCAACACTTAAGAAGGTACATATCAACATGACATTATTGATAACAGTGATTAACTTGGTTAAGATGGTATCTGCCAGGTGTTCCGCTGTTAATACTGTGGTTTGGATAAGGTTTGAGTGTGTCCTCTAAAGGTTCATATGCTTAATGCTTGGTCCCCACTGTGGTGATGTGTAGAGGTTCTAGAACCTTGAAGAGGTGGGGCCTAGTGGGAAGTAATTAGCTCACTAGGAGCATCACCCTTGAAAATGATTAATATAGTTTTTTTTTTTTTTTTTTGGTACTTGGATTAAACTCAGGGGCATTCAACTGCTGAGCCACATCCCCAACCCTATTTTTGTATTTTATTTAGAGACATGGTCTCACTGAGTTGCTAAGCACCTCGCCATTGCTGAGACTGGCTTTGAACTTGGGATCTTACTGACTCAGCCTCCTGAGCTGCTGGTATTACAGGTGTGCACCACCTTGCCCAGCTTCATTCATATTAATACAATTCTTGTTAGGACACTGGCTAGTTCCTGTGAGAGTGGGTTGTTATACAAAGAGTGAACCTGGCTCTTAAATCTTTCTTGTGTCCTGTCTGCTTGTGATCTCACACATTCTTCCACTATGATGCTATCTGCCATGTTGTGATATAGTCAGAAGACCCTCACGAGGGCCAAGCAGATACCAGTACCATATTCTTGGACTTCCAAAACACTGAGCTAAATAAATCTCTTTTTTCTTTATACATTACCCAGCATTAGGTATTTTATTATAGTAACAAAAAATGGATTAAGACTGTTTGTATTTTTTTTTTTTTTGTAATTAACACATAGTTTAGGGCAGAGACTCGGAGACTGAGTTCTCCTTAAACTTGGCCAGCTATTTTTAGTGTTCATTGAAGAATTTTGCCTGTGTGTTTCACTAAGCTATGTCCTATCCCTGTTGCAGACTTTTAACTATGCTGTGTGTAATTTGGCCTCTAGGATTCTTTCATATACTTCTAAAATTAATTTTGGACCTGAATGAATTCTGAATTTGTTTTGTATCATGAGCAAAGTTTGGGTATGACTACCACTGGATAAAAGAAAAGGGGAAGGATCAAGAGTGCTAGAGAAGTTTTCTAATTCCCCTCGTTTGGGATCATGGAAAACAGGCATATCTCAGAAAGAATTCAGCTGGAGAAGTTTCTGTTTCAGGACCACTGGGAGGAAAGTGAAAGTATTTTAGTTCATATTAAGAGTAAACATGTAAATGTGTATTTACAGATAAAATTCTGAATTTATATAATTTCTTAAGAGAAAAAAATTGCAAATTTAGGAAGAGATGTTTGTGATTTGTTAAGATAATGTTTGATAACTGGTTTATAAAATGTTCATTATAATCTTATTCCCAAGTCTTTTAGGAGGCAAGAAGTAGAATTGTGTTGGTAGATCAGGGTCTTACGGCATTTTAAAGTTCTGACTCTGTTCATTTTATGAAAAATAGCTGGTTTAGATAATGCTTTTAATTTTTCTGTCTACCACTTATTTTCTAGGGACTCAGAATAAGAGTTAAGATTAAATAGTAAATAAAATATGTTGGTGAGAGAATGTGAGACAGCAAAAAGTAGTGTGCTTTCTATAGCTATTCGAGAGCCATATGTTTAATTTTCCTTTTTCTACCCCATTTATTTATGCAGATTGCCTTCTTGCCTGGCTTCTCTTGCTTTTCCTAAATATTTCCCTTGCACAGTGTCTGGTGGGGAATGTTTATAAGTAGAAATTCTGTTTCTGGAAAAAAGTAAAAAGGCTTAAGCATTCTGCAAAAGTGTTAATCACTTTCTATCGCCAGGAATGTGGTAGGCATATTATGGGGCACAAAAATAAACAGTTAATATATTTTACTTTCACAGTGTTCAAAGTTTTGTAGTGTAGAATAGGCAGTTATAACACAGTATCAAAGAATGTCTGTTAAATGCTATGGGGGCAAGGAGGAATGAAGATGAAGGCAACATAGATGATTGAGCTGAGCACTGAGTCAAGAATAGGACTTTAATATTAGAGCTGGCTGCCATGCCTGTAATTTCAGAAGCCTGGGAGGTGGAGGCAGGAGGATTACAAAGGTTGAGGCCAGCCTGGAGAAACTTGGCCAGAACTTCAGGAAAAAGAAAAAAACAACAGGACTTTCTAGAAAAAGGAATAACATGTGAAGCATTGAAGTAAGAAGCAATGTGACTTTTCACAGCATTGCTATGTTTGGAATTTAGTTTCTTATGAAAGATTAGGAAGAGATAAAGCTGAGAAGAGACAAGCTATTCTAAAGATTTTAGGGTTTTATTTTGAATAGAAAGATTGTAAGCAGTGGTGGAAATGATTTAAATTATATTTTAGAAATATCATTTTAGCAGCAGTATAGAAAGAGCCAGATTGAAGGTAGAGAGAATTATAGACGATGATACAGTAATCTCAAATATATACATGCCTGAACCAAGACAGAGGTGTTGAAAACGGAGGGTACAGATTTATGAGTTATTCTTTCAAGGCAAAATGGGACTTGACTTATGGTTTAGGTATGAGGGTAAAAGCTCCTGTTAGTATGCGGAGGTGAGATGATTAGATTATGAGACCTGCAAACCAATCTGTCCATCCTAGTTTGAATGGAATGGGTGGTAACTGTAGTCAGGTGGGGTGTGGCTGGAGGAGGTGGGTCACTGGGACATGCCCTGGAAAGATGCATCTTCCCTGTGGCTCCTTCCTCTTTCTCTTTGTCTACTTTCTGACCCCACTCAGAGTGAAGAAAGGCCCAGAGCAATCAAGTTGGCAATCTATGGACTGAGATCTCTGAAACTATGAGCCCTAGATAAACTTTTCCTCCTCTAAGTTGTTCTTGTCAGATATTTTGGTCACAGTGATACAAAATACTGACTAAAACGGTGACCAACATAGGCTTAGCATGGGAGGAAGAAATAGAATAGGATAACCGTCAGGTTTTAGAATAGGGTACTAATAAACACAATAGGTACATAGGAGGAACAGGTGGGAGAAT